CTCCCCCTGCTCGCAAGGCTCGGGCGGCCACTGGGCGTGGCGGCGTGGGGGCCACGCAGACCTGGGGTGTCCCCCGCCCGGCCTGAAGGAGAGCGGTGGCTGTGGCAGCTGGACCCAAAAGGGACTTTCACTGAAGGAGGCGGCGGCGGAAGCAGGCGACGCCCCCGGGAATCCTCCCGCCGAAGCCCTCTAGCGGAGGCCGCTTCTGCAGCCAGGCCCCGTTTCCTTTAATTATTTCCCAAACTTGCTTGTTCACGAGAATCACGTGGGGAGAGCGTTCAAATGACAGATTCCTCGGCTCCACCCGCAGGCCTACTGAATCAGAATCTCGAAGGGAGGTACTGCGGAAACTGAATCTCTAACAGGGGCCCGAGAGGCTTCTTATGATCAGGCAAGTTTGGGAAACACAGCTCTAATTCATTGAGGCTGGCGGGAAGGGGGGCGGGGACCGCGCAGTCTCTTTAAGGCGCTTCCAGTTCTCAGCTCCAATCGCTGCTTTAACCCCCTTCAGCGTCTCCTCCCCTCGCTTCCTCCTTCCCTTCGTCCATGCGGGCTTCCCCCAGCACTGCGGGACCGGGGGCCAACGATTGCCAAGTCCGGGAACGTTTCTGAAGCTGTGAAATGTCCCATCCGGGGCTGGGTTCGGAGGAGCGCAGGCAGGACCCATGACAGGCCACCTTTCGGCGGCCGAGCCTGCCCCAGTCTCCCCTCCCAGCCCTGGTCCTGCCCTTCCCGAAAAGGATGACACTCCAACCCCATTCTGAGGCAGGCCTGGCCCCCAGATCTGGAGGGGCAGCGCTCCCAAGGCCGCTCGGCCCAAAGAGGCACGTCCCGTGCCCATCTTATTTATCTCTGCAGAGTCTGGGCCTCCTCCCCGGGCTCTCAAGGCCTCAGGTGGATTAAGGGTTTGGCAGCCAGCCTTCTGGCCCAGCAGACGCTGAACAGCCCGGGGGCCAAATCCAACTCTGCTCTTCAAGGCCAGTGGGAGGCAAAAGACCAGCCCCACAGTTGGCACCTCCCCTACAGCTGAGAGAGGGGCCTAAGCTACAGGACACAGCCCCGAGACCCCTAAGCCCTAACAGAGCCCTGGCTCAGGCAGCAGGTGGGAATAGAAAGGAAGTCTGTGGAGCTGCCAGGGGAGAGGGGGTAGGCATTGGCCTCTGGGGCCTCTGGGAACCCCTGTGCCGAGGGGCTGCTGGCACCACAGGGCCCATGAGGAGTGA